ATGGGCCCCCGCTGAGCCCAGGGTGTAGGTGGCCATGCAACACCCTTCTTCTGCTCTGCCTGCAGCAGACCCGGACCAGTGATTCGATATTGAAACTTTCCACGTGTATATTTCTACCCAATGAATATTTAAATAATTAAATAAATACAGGAATATAGGCTGTGGGAGAGAAGGCTGAGATGCCTTCAAGGGACTGAAACACTCCTCTGGAGCAGCAGTTGAAGCCTGTCCTCTTAGATGCAGAAAAGGCAAAACATCCCCCACCATGGCTAAGAGGCTAAACCACATATTGGTCCCACAGAAAACCACAGTCTGAGAAGATGACTTTACTCAAGTGCCTGAGACCACTCGTTGCCTCAGTGTCTGGGCCCAGGCCTCAAAAGGCATGAAGTCTCCCTCATGCTGGGGACAGTAAAGGATGGAGGAACGATGAATACTTGTATGTTGTGAAGTGCTTCAAAACAGCAGCGGTGGTATATACAAACATAAATACACCATAGGGGGGAAAAGAAAGAAAATTAGAATGTACGCAGCTTAGATTTTTAATAAGTACAGATTAATTACAGCTTAAGTTTTATTAATTAAGCTTGATTTGCTATCCTAGCTCATGCAAATTTGAATTAATGTCTGCGTGTATTTTTTTTTTCTTTAAGAAGGTAAATTGTTCATGTTTGATGTATACCTGTGAATACACTTTGTAAAATGTTTCCAGTAAATTTAATGACTGCAGTCAATATTGAGGGAATCCCATTTTGGCCAAGAACAGAAGAACGGAGCTATAATCAGGTCTAGGGAAAATGTCACAACAATGTTCATCTCATGGATATACCTGAAATTGATTTATAATAGCAATACATAAGAAATTAGGTGAAGCAATGAGTATTCGTGAAGTCTTCAGATGGATAATAATAACCTGGCAACAGCTGTGGTACATATAGATCCGAAAGTGAACCCTAAGATAAGTTTGTATGGGATGAGCAGCAGCTCCCATGTGGTACAGTAGCTGTTCAGGCTAAGACATGCCTTAAAGAGCCATTTGGTGCCACACGGAGATGGGCAGAGGCATTTCAGCCGCTCCAGAGAGGTTGTAAGAACATGAAGAGGTAGGGTACGTTCCCCTACCCCTCCTTCTGTCCACAGCAGGCTGTAATTTAGTTTCTCCTAATCTCTATCAAGAAAGAGGAGAAGAACCCTTGGTGCTTACCCTGCAGAGACGAGAGGTGCGCAGAGCAGCCACCTTTCAGCTGCCACCTGAGCTGGTGGACACGGGGGCCGTGGGGGGACCCTGGCAATGCCAAGTGGTTGGGGTGCTTCTGTGCTCACTTCTGCAAAGACAGCATGGTTACTCTGCCCAGCATGCCCCTTGCAGCCACCAAATTTAGCGGTCTCCTCTTTCCCAGCTCTCCCCTGCCCACCCAGAGCTCCCCTGCAGAGCCCATGAGCTCCTGAGCACCACAGGGATGCTCCTCCTGGGCACCCCATTTCACACAGCCCCGGGGGACTGGACGCGGGGGGCAGGAGGGGGCTGCACGGCTGCCTCGGGGAGGGTATCTGCTCACTGGGGCGGAAAGAGGTGCTATGGAAAGATGAAGCAAAGCACGATGATACTAACAGAATCAGGTAGAGCCTTGAAGTATTTGGTCCATTTTACTTCTTCTCATCTCCAAAGCTGATTTCCAGGATAAATTTGAGAATTTGAGAGCAATTTTACCTTATTATAGGCATTTCTCTGGCTTGATTCCCAGGTGATGTGATGTTGAAGGATCACATACATTGCAAATTATGGTTCCTATAACTATTTTTATATGCTTTCTGTCCTTCCTTAAAATCCACCTCCTGATCTTTCCTGCATTTCCTTTGTAGGGTCCCTCGGGACAGCTGGTCGGGTTTGTAACCAAACCTCCCGCGGCATGGACAGCTGTGAAGTGATGTGCTGCGGGAGAGGCTACGACACCTCCCGCGTCAGCCGAATGACAAAATGCGAGTGCAAATTCCACTGGTGTTGTGCCGTGCGCTGCCAGGACTGCCTAGAAGTGGTCGATATTCACACCTGCAAAGCACCAAAGAGCACTGGCTGGATCTCCCGGACATGATGCACAGGCTACTGACGCTTGAGGACCACAGCCTTTGCCCTTCCTGATCCCTGCAGGGAATGCGTCCGAGGTCGTCTCTACTTTTATGCCAGTTTTGCCGTTGTCTTTCATTGCACAGAAGCTGCTGAATAATTAATACAAACTCTGCAGCATTTAATTCCCATTTCTGCATGACAGTGTTGCTGCAGAGCTGTCCGTGCATAAACTGATGCAGCTCTGGAAGGACGTACTTCTGCCGGGACTCTTCCAACCAACACACAACTGTCCTCCGGACTCCTTGTGGCAATTCATTCCTGCCATCAGGAACACAGCACGATAAAAAAAGGGAGCATTTTGTACAAGACCACCACAACCGCCTGCATGGGCTGAGCTTGCTCAAGCATCTGCCAAAGGATCCTGTGCTGGCCACAGTCGTGCCCTGGATACTGAAGCGCTCGGGAGTTTGAGCACCGGTTGGTGATTCCTCCGTGAGAGGAAATTTGGGGCAAGGCTGGGTGAAAGGCTTTACCGGAGGGGTGTTTGTCCATCCCCGGTGGACTGGAGTTTGCAGTGAGGTGGCCACCCCCACCACCGTTAGCACACTGCAGCTTCCCGTGGGGCAGAAATTGGCCAACGGCAAAAAGCAAAGGGAACTGGAGGAGATGTATTCAACCACATTTTCATAAACTATTAAAGAGTCAAAGCAAATGTCTTAGTTATATATTTGTGAAAACTTGTCTTAAAAGCTTTTAAAAGGTCATTAATATTAACTGCTGAGTTTTTTTGTGATCTGAAGGATCAAAGAGAAGAGATTTGTTTCTCAGCCTAGTGAGAGCTGAGTATAGGACACTCAACTACCTGAGGATAAGGTTTCCTATTTTTCACTTACTGAATAAGCAGAAACACGTTTGCAGAAAGCTGATGGAGAATGAAATACCTTGTCTCAGTAGTGATCGGGTTTCTAAAGAATCTATCAACTTCTATGTTCTTTTAAATTTAATAAATCTATTAAATGTGTTCAGAATGATACTTTCCGTTCAGATGGGGACTTCCAAATGAGATTTTTTTCACTAAATATTTTATGCAAAAAGTTATGCCTGTGATTAAGGGTGCATTGGCCTCTGATGGAGGTAGTTACGGGTCCATATGCTGGGCTGGGATCAGCACAAAACAACAAAGCGCTGGAAAGATGCGCAGGCTCACGGGGCCCAGAAATCGAAGCCTCACTGGAGAGGAGCTGGGTCAGAGAGGGACTGGCCGTCTCTCCTCGGAGCAGAGACCAGCAAATGAGCCAAGACGAAAGATGGGGCCTGTGCCCCTAAGTCTAATAAGGCTCCGGAAAAGCACCCATGAAGTGCAGACACAGGCAAGGTAATGAAAAAATGATGTAGGAAAAGGAGGTTGAACTGGTGATAGAACATTTTGTAGGTGCAGGTAGAATTTCCATATGAAAAGACCGGAGGAACCTTAGTGGGTACAAACAGTGCGTGAAAAAGTAATCTACCAGGAGCATGCCGTGGCAATAAATTGAGTACTCTGGTTATGGTTTTTTTTAAAAAAAGCATATTTTAAAAGAATGTTGTTTTTTTTTTTTTTTGCATTCAATGGTCTTGAATCATCTTGAGTCATTTACACCTGAAATGCTTTGGAGAAAGTTTGTATCATTAAAATGGGCAAGTCATCTCCAGAAGGCACAGCTGGCATTAAAAGATTAGGAGGAGCCAGAAAGGTATTTATTTGGACAATAAGATAATGTTTCAGTTACTCTACACGGCATTAATATAATGATCACAGCTACATGTAAGAATAATCACGCTTCTGGGTATAAACCAACTGCTGGTGGGAATAGCCCTGTCAGCGTGTTGGTGTACGGGGTGTGTGCGTTACGCACACATGCACATGCAGCGTGTATAGGTGCACGCACATCCAGTTCAGTGGTTATACTGTTGGCCTCGTTACTGCTGGCAATTCTGGCTCTGGGCCGGATAAGGAAAATGTCACACCTAATTGTATGTACAGGTAAGCCCAAGGAGGATTTTTTTTTTTTTTTTATAATTAGGATTTCATTGTGAAATTAAATCTGCATGTAGTTCACAGCCTGAGCAATACCACATTTTAAGCCTTAAAGAACTTAAAAGCAGTAAAAAACTTTTTAATTTTTTTTTTTGTACCAGGTGTTTTGAAAGATTCAGGAACCCCTTCGGTAGTCTACAGATCCACCATGTAATAATACAGAAAATATTTCAATGTTCTGGAAAAAAAGGAAGCCTCATTTTTCCAAGGGCACTTGTTCCAGGAAGTTGAGTAAAAGGTAATGAAATCAGATCGCTTCTGAACTCCATCATTTGGTCAATACAGCAGAAAACAAACCCACCTGAATTCTGCAGTCCTAGGTGAAGTGTTTTGGGGTCATTGTATTAAAGTTGGAACTTTCATTTCCCAACCTGGTCCTCCTCCTCCTCCACCAAGGTACGTCTTCTTGCTCCAGGCTTTCCCCTGCTCTCAGGGGCCTGTGGTTCCTGAAGGCTGGTCTTACCAGTAAGACCAGTAAGATGGTGGCATTGAGTACCTTGGCCCTTTTGGTGTCCTTTGTCACCAGATTCCCCCTCCCCATTTAGCAGTGGGCCCACCAAAGGTGCACAGAGGGCTGAATTTTATATTCCACATGAGTACCATAATAATAAGCTGCAATGCAATCCCTCACCAAATCCGCTTCACCAGCGGAAAACCAGAATATCTTGCAGTACAACAAATGTGTAACAGCTGAGCTGGCCAATTATTTGATTAAATTTTTTGCTGCATTTCTGAATTTTTTTTTTAAAGAAAAGAGCTCACGGTAGGCTTCTTACGGCTGTAAGCATTTCTGCTGCCTCTTCCATGAAGAAAGGACTCCTGGGAGCTTTTGCTATTTCTTAGTAGGAAAAGACACTCAGAGGTGTAAATATTGCTAGGAAGGGCACCTCCTCGACCTTCAGCTAATCAAATAAAGAAGAAAAAGGGGGAGGGGAAAGAAGAAACAGATATCAGGCAAGGCAAATGAAATAATCATATATTTTATTCTATGGAATAAATTTATTCATGTATTTAGTCATGAAGAGGAAACAGCTGTCCCTAGGTAGACACTTGAGTGTCAGAATAATGTTAGCTGAGGCAAAAGGTTGTAGGAATTTTTTTTTTTTTTTCCTCCAAATATGCAGTCCAATTTTCTTGAGGGAGTTCCCTTTGCTTTTGCTGCATGAAATCAGGATCTAGCAGCACTCTGAAATGCTGTTAGCCTGCCAAGCTTTTCGGGCTTGCTCCCTCCCCACTATTTTCAACACACTTAACCCTAAAAAGTGTGTTGAGCTGTTTTAGGAGAAATCTCGTGAAAAAAGTATACTTTTCTTTTACCACCCCATCGTGGAAGATGGGGGATGACTTTCAGGAACGGTGGTGTATGTTAGGGCATATGGGTATTGCAGCTCAATTGTGTTGCTGCTTTTTTTTTTTTCCTGCAAAACTATCTAAACCCAGCTTGAGCATCTCACCCTTCCCTCCCACCCCTGTGTAACTGTCTTTGCAGATGTGAATTAGAAATAAAATACCGCATTTCTGGTACCGTGCTGCACAGCTGCGGAAGGGCAATCCAGCCTGGATGCCCAAATCATACCTGCATTCGGCAGGCAGGCAGGCAGCCTCATGCAGGTATGGCAGCAAAGGGGAAAATGAACGTTTTACTGGGGATCATAGAATCATAGAATCGTTTAGGTTGGAAAAGACCTTTAAGATCATCCAGTCCAACCATAATTAGTGAAGGTCACACAGCTTTTGGGCTGGGGAGGGTGCTTTCACCAGGAAAAAAAATAGCTTTTCATCCAGTGCGGCAGCACAAAGCGTACTGATGCTTGCTCACCTCTGTGGGTTTTGCCCCACGCTCTTCGGAAGGGCTACAGCCTTCACGTGCAGGTGAGGGCCACCTCCGAGGGCAGAGGCAGTTTTGTGGTCACATAGAAGGGCCGGGGGTTTCTCCTGCCACTTCAAACGACACAAATGAACTTGGAATTATTATCTGAAAGGCGGCAGCAGTTCATGGGCTGAAATCACAAACATGGGGTTCTTTTTTTTTGTGTAACAGCTCATTTGCCTGATTAAATGGATGTGACTTCATAATGTAAGATCTTCTCCTGTGTGAAAGAAGCAAACGTATATGAATCGATGTATCGGCTGCTCCTCCTCCGTTGCTCCAGGGGTGCCTCCCTGCCCCCTCAGCAGTGGGAAGGGGGCAGAGGCCCTGCCAGAAGCCAGGTGGCACACGGGGCGGGGGGCTACCTCGCCCCTGTGCCTTAACCAAAACCACTGAGGTTTTCAAGCCCTCCGTGCGGTGACAGCCACACCGGGCGTGCGGGGTGTGCCAGGGGTGCAGCTTCCTTTGGATGTTTACCTTCTGTAGGCTTCTGCAACACAGGCATGCTCCTGATTTTTTTTTTTTTTCCTCCTTTTTACTGGGGTAAGGACTTCTATGCTACCCGGCTGAAAAATCAGAGTCTGCGGATTGAGCGTTCACACCAAATCACAGCAACCGATTCACAACCAGAGAAAACAGGAGCCTTCCCCTAGGTGCAGCACTCACCTCTCCGAGTGTGGCTCTCGCCTTGGCACAGCTGTAAATCTGCCCGCCGGGCGGGCCAGGAGGTGGCTGGCTTGACTTTCCTGACGCTCCTGCGCTTCCCTCCTTTTTTGTTCTACGCAGGTTACGGTGGAAAGAGAGAGCGTGCATCCAAATTGTCTTAGGTTGTCTTTAAAGAAAAAGCCGGGAACTGTGAACGTTTGGAACTTAAAAGCCCTCCCTCCATAAATCTGCAAAGTGAAGATTCGGATGAGTTATTATCTGAACCAGATTTCCAGAAGTCTCATCTCCGCACTAAGCCAGAGGCTCTCCATCACTATAATCACGGGCTCTGTTTGCCTTTTGATCTAAGCCATGCCGACTTCACAGGAAACATGTCAGAGGCAGAAAAGCCTAAGGCAACAAACTCGGCCCGATGAAAAAGAAAATCCTTTTGTCTGACTTGCCTACTCTCCCAGATGCCCAGAATTATAATTAA